ATTGCAATTAACAAAATAGACAACATCCTGAATAAGAGGAATGAATGTAGGAAACGAAGTAAGATCTCTCTCTGTCTTATAAATAGAATGAGAGAGAGATTAATAGAGGAAGCGAGAACGAAGGGAAACAGGAAAAGCCACAGAGTAAGACAAGAAAACTAGACTAAGCTGGAGCTTGTTTTTTAACCTAAAATTGTCAACCAACTCGGAGTTGATGCACACACACGCAAACACACATCCACGAAGCTCTAACAAGAACCAGGGCTACTGGATCATACTCTAGTTTATTTACATATAGAAAAGCTGTGGCCAGATCCGCTTCTCTGCCTGCACCACTTTGAACCACTTAAATGCATGTAGTACAAATATACGTCAGCCAACCAAATCATGCAATGTCTCATTAAGATTGCAAAGTGAGGTATACGAAGTAATTAGGATCTCAGCTGGCCACCCTTACTTGGTTTAGGGTATTTTGGTGATTTTGCGTGAATAATAGTTTCTGGCTATGATGATGCCCGTCATAGGACGGACAAAAGCTTAATGCGGAGTCTCTTCGACCCGCCTAATCAAACAAAATTAAAGGTACGCCAGTATCATATCCACTTTTAGTCGCATTCTTGATCCCTGATTTTATTTTCTTAAAATCCAAGTTGAAAGCTATTCCTTATGACCCTATAATTCTTTATATCGTCTCTCTGGGATACCCATCAGTAGGTAAAATTAAATTGAGAGCGACTAAGTGAAAGCACTGTATCAGGAAGATAAGAGACGGACCCTACTTAGTAAGAGATAGAACCTGGATGAAGAGGATTTTGGACTAATAGGGCAGACTCGGTTCAACACTTCTAGCACAGGAGAAAGGTTTAAGGAGCCTACAAGTTCTCACGAACTCCGGTAAAAAGAGCACATCATAACCAGGTTTAAGTAAGCAGGAAATTTGTGGTGAGGCGGCGTTACGAAAATATTGGATGAGTAAGTTAACCAAAACAGAGGAAGAGATACCATATATGTTTGGCCGAAAATTGGTCAAAGATTTGACTTCACTTGTCTCTTTGGTAAGTAGTAGTGTGGTGCTAAAAATTACAGGGCTTAGTAAAGATGCCGGCGAAACGTCATGGAATGTACAGAGTTCTCGGTGTGACTCTGGAAATAATCGTGGATAATAATATGGTCTCCAGGCAATCAAGTTATATACAACAATAGAAGACGGTGAACATAATAAGGGCCGGACTATCTTGGTCTCCATAGCTTTGCTGAATTTATCTCTGGTACCTGCCATGTGAGCCTTTACTATCTATGAATTATTTTGTCTACGTCTCATCAACGGAGGTAGTAGTCTCAGTTGGCTAGACAGAATGAGATGGAAAGATGGGTTTCAAAGAATCTCTTGTTTCATAATTTTTGAGCCTACTTCCATTTCGAGTGAGATTGTTGGGTAAGAGATTTGAAGTTCGACTCCATCAGAAGACGACGGACGATTCCTCTTGACCAGATGTAGATTGACTTTACTGAAACATTCAATCCAACGCTGTTTACGAGGTAACCTCATTCGATTCCGGAGAAAAGGTGCTAACCTTTCGTCCGTCATGACGAAAATCATCAGAGCAAGGTATCATCGTCACAAAAAAATTCAAGCTAATGAGTTAAGAAAACTCATTGGCAAATCACTAAAAAGTGGTATATATTCTCTTCATCTGGTACTAATTACTTCGAGCCATCACTGCGGGTTTCGTGCACAAGCGACTACAAACAGGCACATACACATACAGAGACATACACACTCACATGCATCGAAGTTGAAATATGACCTTAACTAACCAAATCACTTTATACTTGATGAAAAAGGCCAGATGTAGAGTATATATACCACTTTTTAGGGATTTGCCGGTGAGTTTTCTTAACTAGTTAGCTTGAATTTGGTTGTGAAGATGTAATCTCTCTCTGATGATGTCCGTCATATGACGGACTAAAGCTTAGTACCTTCTCACCGGAATCGAAGGAGATTACCTCGGAAACAGCGTCAGAATGAATCTTCCAGTAAAGCCAATCGACAGCTGGTCAATAGAAATCCGCCATCGTCTTCTGATAAAACCAACATTCGAAACTATTCAGCCAAAACGTTTACTCAAAATGGAAGTAATCTCAACAAATAGACAGGATGAGAACAGTAGCAATTCATAGGGCTGGTAAATCTTAGGCCTAGATTGATAAATTCCCATCTTGGTGGATCAGATATGATCATACTGCTTATTATCCTTTGGCATACTTTAGGTGCTTACGCCTAGAAAGTGTCAATAAGATCTTTTTTCCTAGGTTGCGTGGAGCGATTAAGCGAGCAAGTGTGCAATTTTCCCACAATGCATTGAATAAGCCTCTCTGGGCCACTTAATTTCGCTTGGCCTTGCTTCAAAAATTGTTTTTTCTACATGGTGTATTTCAGTTTTTACCTCGCTTGAGTTAAATCAGCTCCTCCACTTTTACTGAAAGTCAAGTAACACACATCGTGATAATACGATAAAGTTCTGCTACATAGGCACAAGTGATAGCTTGACAAGAGGCAGATTTGGCAATAGAATAAAGCCAGACCCATTCAAAATCACATTTTAGAATGGTATTATCGACGATGCAAATATATATTTATTATTATACACGATGGTATGATTATATTTCGAAAGTATTGATATTTTTTATTAGAACCCTCTCACCTTAGTTCGTTGAGGTTCCTGCAACTCAGGAAAGATTGAATGGTATCCAACCGATGGCATAATGTTTTTCCCGAAAATTCTAGAGAAGATAATGATGTCTGAAGAGTGACTTTCAGGAATCAACTTTAGTATATTAAGAGCAAAGATTATGTTTAGTAAGCATGAATACTATGCAAAAATCAACTCATTTCAAGAAACCTATAAAAAATTGACTAATTATAAGCTAATGAATACCTCTGTAGGTTTTATTTCCTTGGGCAGATACAAGCAATTAGAGGTATATTAAAACAGTATTTACATAATCGCCAACTTCTTACCATATGGCTTATTTAATTTGATCGAAACTCAAGAATCGAGCTAAAGTTTTAGTCTCTTTTTCCAACCTAATTGTGCTTTCAGGAAATGTAGCCCTCATTTCGTCCTCTTCAATTTCGATCATATATTCTTACAGCATCGGGACATTGACCTGGCTCGTAGTCATTATCAGTGTTTCGAAGCATTATATGTATCTCCATGATACCACCAGTCATTTCGACAAGTTAATTCAGTCCCTGTAGCTGATTCACTACGATAACACGATAACAATATACGAGTTCTTTGTATCTGGTACGTTTGACAATGTATCATTAAAAGCATGGCATAGTTGCTAATACGAAATCTGGTGAAGCATATAGACAAAAAGAGACTACAATAAATCCAAGGATTCAGCTACCACTTAATCAACGTAATGTCCATTCATAAAGGACCATATCACGATGATACTTTTGAGCTAGCCATCCTGCTAAAAGCTCATATCAACAAAAGTAACTTTACGAACCATGAATTATTTTTGTATCTACCATACCAAAAATGGTATTTAAATTTTGAAGTAAGGTATCTTGAAATATTCTTACCAAGTATACATAAAACGATATAATATTTTGATTGTATTGCTCTTTAGATGCCAGGATAATTCTACTTCAAAATTTATAGCAGTCTTTATTTTCCATCACAAGTTGAAACAACTCACTTTTATATAGGAAGATAACTGAGGAAAATTACAATGTAATGCTCTCTCCTATTCTTCAGGACAGAGTATGAATGTTACAGGCCAGAGCATTTTTATTGATAACTATCTCGACCAAGAAAAAAATAAGTTTATTAACTATTAAATAGGCTGGAAGGATTTAATTCTATTCATGAGACACATCTTCTTCACAATTTTAACTTACTTTGTCTGTTCAGATAGCAACGAATTTGGCATAAATCATTTGGCAAGGACACGAAGCTTGCCGTACTATGTACAGTGTATATGCTGCCAAAAGTTTATATTGTTTGGTAGATTGTGTTTTAGGGAAATAGCCTTCGGCCAAAAGTAGTATCATCGTAGTTTATGGTGGTAACACCGGTGTTAGGGGTCGAAATTTGTTTAAATTTGAGTTGAGGATCTGATAGGCCGTTCGCTTTATGAGACTATCACATTTTTCAAATAAAATAACGGCTTCTTATTCACGTTGTCGATGAAAGTTCCAAAAACGCCATTAGACTTTCACGTTCATTTAAGAAAATCAACATCATTCACCACACCAACTTTGTTTATAGTCTCAATTAGGATCCATACCTTAAGCCTATTCTTCCAAGCATTCGATCATAACCACAATTAGTTAACACATCAAGAAAAACAACTTGATTATATTGTCGATTTAGTCGGTGAAATCTCTGTTATGTTAACAAGAAGTCAAGGAGTCGCTCAAGTCTTATTACAGTCATAAGTGATAAAGGCTGCACCTTTGTACGATAACTTTAGCTCCATATTTTCTACCATACAATCACAGCGAGTTTATTGACTATCTAAATACTAAAGGCTAGATTGGCCATTCTTGGGTAACAGCAATTATTACAATAGAATACTATCTTCTGTGTTCTCAGAAGCTTTGGCTTATGATTTATATCCCTTTTCATTGTATGAGAATTCCGAAAGTCATTCTCATTTAAATTTGATGCATTTTCAAATTTACATATTCTCCAAATTTTTCGATTGTAGCGGCATTCTTTGGAACTAATAATTACTCTAAAAGTTTAGTTATAATATGTTTAGTCTAATTAATATAGGCATTTCTAATGCAAAATAATAAGCTATTATTTTGTATTTAAATGTACGACATTATTTTTCTAATATTGTTAACTAACTACTTGCTGTTCTGCTATGGCGTCTGGCTTTTGTTTCAGGTTTATGTGACTAAAAATTTATTTATGCCTCCAAGTAAACTGATATCTCGCTTTTAGTCTAATGCTGCTTCTTTGTTATTTTCCCAGATGATTGATGCAAAGCTGCGTATCGAGAATTCTAAATCTTCTGCATCAATCGAACGCCTGAAAAATCAACTAAATTTGGCAAAATCTGAAATTATTTCTTTGAAGGCTTTTCAAGATTCTAAGGTAAGTGGGCCGCTTTGGCGTTATTTTGAATTAATTCTCTGGTAGATAGTTCCTATTTAGCTATGCAAATATGTATTCATGTAGTAGGCAACTGTGATATGTTTATTATAGTTCAACCATCTGTGCCACTGATAAAATTGAAGGAGTATTATGCTTATATACATTTATATAGTTATCTATATAATTGGCTTACTAAATCAGATTGTTGCTGCTGATTTCCCCATATTCCCATTACAAAGTAGCTTGCCTAAATAGCTCAGTTTAATTAGTTTTAAATTTTGTTCATATTAATGATAATCACAAGGTATTTTAACTTCTTCATTGCTGTAGATTAGAGTTCTATATCTGAATTGATTGTATTTAATCCATCATTTGACAATCCCATGTTCCTAACCCCCTAAGTCTGCACCAAAGAAATAGAAGTAAATTACTTAATTTTGAGCAATTCACAATTTGGGACTAAATTAGCTTTGCCAGTTTAGTAGATTAGTTTAATAACCATTTGTAGGTGGCCTAATCACTGCTCAAAGTGGCCATACCACTTATATTATTTACATAATTATGCGAAAGGTCTGCACTTTAGGAACTATATTAGTGGACACCTTATACTTAGATGGTGCCACTTAGTTTTGTTAAATATGACACCTCTCACCATTAGAAACCCTGTTGAAGTAAGGTCTGTCCTTAAAATAATTGGTGTATTCTGAGCCTTTTATTATCGAAAAACGTGATTTTGAGCCGAAATTTTGCATCATGCCTGCTCACAAAGGATAAAATCATTAACTTTAATTACCTTTAAAACCAAGAAGAATCAACATTAAGGTAAAAATGCTAATAATTTAAAGTTTAAAGCATTAGCCACAGCCAGTTAGTTAAAAACTGATAAAGAATATAGACTGTTTTTCTAGTGGTCGAGAATTCTAATCGTTTTAAGTGACAGCGAAAATTTTGTATGATATTTTGTCCATTATCTAACTTTAGTAGAAAGGAAATACGTTTGCTTCCCATTGAGACTAATAATGAATCCATAATTAAACCTATTAAAGTAACGATATGTCGCCGGGTTGGGTGTTATCATGTTATACCCTTCATAACTTCGCCTCCTTGCTTTGGGTTTGCTGCTCCTACTATATATGTTATAGTAAAGCATATATCGGTTTAATACGGGTTTACTATAAATCGATTTATCGTACTTCTTTAGATGCTGGATTTGCAGAACAAACTACAACAAAAAGAGGCGCAAATGAGTGAATACAGCAAGAGAATTTCAGTTGACCTACAACGGCTTCAAGCTAATCTGGAACGGAAGCATAAAAAACTAGAGAAGGTTCAGGATGCATTTGAAAAGGAGAAAGCTCAAGCAGTGCACTGGAAACAGCAGTATGAGGCCAAAAACAAAGAGACAAAGGTATGAGGAAGTTTTTCATTTCTACAATCGATTGTCGTTTATTTGCGACAAAAGAAATATTAATGTCATAAAAAGGGCGAGATTTGCCACTAACTTGAGCTCGGGTATATACTAAAATGGTTAAGAGATATGTAAGGTGAGATGATTGATACTTCTTTCAAGATCTATTAAATCTTCATAAGTCAACGGACCTATGTGAAACAAATGCATTATTGCAGCATAAAAAGAATATATGCTTTTAATTTTGTTTGTTTTTCTGTAAAATTGTTCAAGCTACGTAAGTTTGGAAACGTCTATGACTTATAACTGAGAAATATACATTCTATACTAGCTTATTCAAATATTTTTTCCGTTATTTGGATGCATGCTTGAAGAAGGATCGTTAAGGCATGATTATTACTTCACTGCATTTGGGCTGCC